TTCCTACGTGACTAATTACCACAGGGGAAGGAAAACACCGTGAAACCAGAGACAACATAAATCAACGATGTGTGTCAGGCACAAAAGGCTCATAAATAAAATTATGAGGAAAACAGAATTCTAATGGTAGGGGAGCCCACGATGCTAAATGGGGATTTACTCGAGCGTCGTAGAGACCTATTGGGATGCAAAGCTTAGATAATAAGAAGAAAAAAATGTTATATGATAAATTCCTTTTCATCGGTGGGGGAAGCGGCTATAGATAGTTAAATATGTAAAAAAAAACTGTTGCATGGACATCCTCGAGCGCGTCAGATATTGATAGCATCTATGCCCTACGTATTTTTAATAATATACGTATGTTAATCTGATCGTTTGCATGATGCGGGTGGTTGTATTTAAGGGTTGAAAATGAAAAAAAAAAAAAATATCGAGCGCGTCAGATTTTCTAAGGGAGTGTTAAGTGCACCAAAAAAAAAGCTCTCATTCACTAATCTGACGATTTCGATGGGACGCAAACCCACAGCCATTTTCATAATTTGCAAAAAAAAATCACAATTTTGAAATACTCAAGCGCGTCAGATTAAGATATATGTGGTTCATCTTTATGTTCTAAACGTACTGTCTCATAATCTGACGATTATCTAGAGGGATTCGCCTGATCTGACAAAAAAAATTTAGAAAAACGGTTCACCTAAAGGGCCATCCCTGCAACTTCCCGCTAATTCCATTCCTGGGCGCTTAAAATTGATATTTTGAGCTCGCTGAGTTCAAAGAAATAACATTTCTATGCATTTGAGCTCTCCCAGGTCGAAAGTCTGATAGAAGTTTCATAGAACACTATTTTTGGAATTTTCAAACCGCAATAACTTTTGAATGGATCAAGCAATTTTCACGCGGTTGGCGGCATTCGACGCAGTTTTATCATCCTCATAAGTAATTTTGCAATTTTAATTGATCGAACCACAAATTTCGGAGTAATCCCGAATAAACACTTTTTCGGGTTTCTTTCGTTCACGATATCTCTCGAACGAATCAACCGCTTTTGACCAGCTTAGTGGCGATCAACGTGGTTTTTCAAGCTCAAAGGTGGATTAGTTTTTGAAGTTGATCGATAAAGAAACCACTTTAAAAAAAAATATTTCTTATTTTTTTAAGATTTTTCAAAATTTCTCAAAATCTATCGGTCCGAATCGGTTCAAATTCACAGGAAATGTAATTTTGAGGGAAATATTTAGAACGCCGTTTAGTAGATTCCGATCGGTTTAAGGAAATGTAGGCATCACGCAGCTGCACGCATTTAACTTTATCGACGAATTTTTGTTATTTCGGCTTGCGGAAATCGTCAGATTATATATTTTTCATTATTCTTGAATTATTTCCTTCAAAATAAAAAAAAAATTAGCTACGCTCGAGAATGTCGAGATGACGTTTTTTTTTTACAACTTTGTTGCCCTCCCCTTTTTTTCCGTCACTCTCAAATTGTCAGATTAGTGGAATATACACTTTTTAGGATGTAATTAACTCACCCTACCTTAATCTGATGCGCTCGGGAATTTCTGATGGTCAATTTTTTTTTACTAATCTGATCCTGTCTCCTTCACAGGCGGCTTTATATATGGACCTCATGTTTTGTGGAGGTACTTAACCGAGTACAAGCTATCCCCCTGTATATTAATCTGCCGCGCTTTAGTAAATCCCGAAATCCCCTCTTGGGCTCCCCTACCATAAAGCCAAATTCCAATTGATTGATAAACTATATTCCAAGTATACATAATATTATGAGATACATTATAATAATATGCCAAATTGTTAATTTTAATTTAAAAAATTATAAATCGTGGTAAAACGGATCAAACTGTATAAAAATGTCCTCTTTGATGGTGTTAAGCTAGGCGTTTGTTTACATATATATATATATATGTATGTATATATATATCAATTACATGTATAGATATTGTCTTTAGTATGTAGGTTAGCTACAGTTACCATGCAAGACTGATGCGATGTGATGATATTGTTTCACCTTAACACAGGAACAACAAGTTCAAAAATAATTTAAATTACAAAGTAATAATACAATAATAAAAATAATCTTGCTTATCACCGTCAAAAAATTGCTTACCTGTAATCATTATTAAGATTCAGACGTCTAATCCTAAATCATAATAATTAGATCAAGTCATTCTTTCGTCTCTTTCTATCAAATTGCATTAACGCCGTGACGAAAAGAGACAGTTCAGCGGTTAAAACGTGTTTGATTTAGTTTTAGATATAAGCTGTTAAAACACCCCTGTTTTTCCGTTGGGTTTTTAATATGAAACCATACTGACATAAGATTAATGCATCGTGTAGGTAGAAATAAATATAGCTACCTTTTAAACGTGGTCTCGCCCTTCGTTATTTTTCATTCGCGAGGGTCTACTAATAAGTGGCGGCTTATTTGCTGAATAAATTCTATAGCATTTCTACCTAAGCATCCCTTCGATGTATATAATGGTGAATTAGACGTAGGGTACACGTTGATTTGGGGGACAATTTTTATAAGCGGCAATTTTGAACTGAATATTCAATAATTCTTTATGTAAATGGTAAACCCGATTCGGGCGCCATAGAACTGATATAACTCAAGAGTGATGACAAGGTCAGCTGTACGTTTAGGCGTGAGGTAGAAACAAGAGCTCATGCATTGTCTCGTTCTTACTTACACGTTTGGGACACGATAAGGCGAGATAACAAGATTGGCTTAAAAATTCAAATACCGTACGCATCCATCTGACACTGTAAAATACCAAAGCGCTTTTAATTTGGACTTTATAATGAGGCAACTTTTACTTTTACTCGGACATAAGCAAATATATCTCCTTCCTATATTGATCAAGATGGCGCACTAGACCTGATGAAAGTCTTTGATACATTTTCCATTTTTTACCCAGCCGTATTTAGTGGTACCTAATGCTTTATTAAGGTTATACTAAAAGCCATTTATAAGTACATGCCGCTTTCACAAACTGTTCGTTAAAGATACATGAATTCGTAAAATAATTATTTTAGTACCTATGTCTAAAATTATATAGATATACATACATATAACTATTGTTTTACTTTTAAATTTAATTTAACGCACGACTTTGAAAGATTGGTAATGCAAATTTTGATGAATAACAAAATGTTAACACAACTAGGTAGAGCCAGGTGCGAGGGAAATGGGAGTATTTCTAATTTTATAAGCAGTATGAATATTCATAACGGTACTTAGTAGCCGGTGTCTTTAGCTAATTTTCCAAAACAAATTTGCCCTCGACAGAAATGATAAAAATAAATCAACGTTAAAATTTATATGAGGGACATGTACACAATACGAGAAAGTTATTTGGCACCGTTCGGCGAAAATATCTAAGGTACGAAAACGGGACAAGGTGCAAGCATTACAACCGCAAAATCGATACCCATACAAATGTTAGGCAAGCAGAGGGTGAAATAAAATGTAAGAAATCTTTACTATTCTTTGAAATGTACAAGAAACGAATGACTATAGATTGAACATGCTTCCGCCTAATGCTTCAACTCAATGTTGCATCATGGAAAATTCACACTTTACTTCAGCAAACTTAATTTACGTAGGTATAATCTATACTTATAATAAAGAGGAAAGATTTTAATTCCATGATTGTTACGAATAAACACAAAAACTACTGGATTTCAAAAATCCTTTTACTAATTGTGTCATGGGCTATATTTATTTCAAAATATTTTTAAAAGCCGTTCGAAGGAGAATCAGCTTGCTTCTTCTTCATAAAATTCTTATAATTTACTCAGAATTCATTTAAAACACATTGTTTACGTCTAATGGCATGTAAATACAGACTATCTAACAGTATAATTTATTGGCTTTTTTATCGTTTGAATTCATTAATATTGTACATTAGTGGACATTTTTTAACTCATACTTGTCATGCGCCTTGTGATGGAATAAATAATTACTACCAACTACTTTAAATGGGCTTCACCAACTGACTAAATTATTTTTATTTCAACGTGAAATTACTTGTATTTAATGTCTATTTTTTGCTATATAAAACCGGTAGAAACTAGATAAGTTAAATAATGTTGTAACCTATTTTCAAGCGAAAACCTGTCCTAAAATATATGCCTTTTTATCAAAGTTCACTTAATGAAGTCTTAAAACTACGACAAACATACACGCAATACGACGCTTAGAATTGGTTAGTGGAATGAACTACCTGCTTTGTAGCTGTTGTGATCTTTCATCTTAAAACAACTTGGGGCATAGTACGTGATATTTCGTATACCATCACTCAACTCTCACGCCATTCTAAACTTTCGTAATGAAATAATAACGTCTGGTTTTGAATAAATATATACAAAACCCGAAAGGGACAGGTCTTGTTAAGCGAAGTATTGTAAACACAAAATATGCGTACCAAGTTAAATAATTTGGAGCCCTATACAATTTGGAGGACTAAATAATTGATGTTTTAACTATGAAATTAACTGTCATTAAAACTCATACACGTAGGTACCGAACAAATTTATACTCTCAAAATTCAATGGGCGGACACGATTTCGTTCGTTTTGTTCTATTCTAATGTGTTTTTATTGCATTAGTCGGCAAAAAATATAGAATTCGTATTGTATAAGGCTTTCCTTTCTATAGTAGGTTGTTCCCTTTCGTCCACTTTACTTTTAACTTACGTTGATTAATGGTTAAAAAAAATTATAAAATCTACTGTAATCTACTCTATACCTACACTTATTTGTTGGTTTTGAAAATATACCGGGTTTTCCGGAAGTAGTAGTTTTTTTACTACTTGACGAGCCATGCGTAGGTAACTTAAAAAAAAAATGATACAAAATTGCGTTGCGTGCGTTGTACAAAGTTAATAATGTTTCAGTACAATTTCCGACAAACTGCTGTCATACGGTGTTCTCTTTATTGTTTTCTTGTGTGCAAAGTGGAAATAAATAAAAGTACTTACCAACTCTTGTTGGTCCTGCTGATTCTTCAGATGTTGCTGAATGGCTTGATGTTGCCTTTGTAATGCCTGTTGCTGAAATTGCTGGATTTGCTGCTGCTGCAGCTGCAACTGCTGCTGCTGCAGTTGCTGCAACTGCTGTTGTTGCTGTTGCTGAATTATTTGCTGTTGTATCTAAAAGATATAAAAAAATATTATTAAAATTATCCAATCAGAAATATAAATTAATAAAAGTAATGTGGCATAATTTTAAGTGGAAAATGGTAATTCAAGTTATTTTACAGAATTAGAATCTAAGGTGTATATCTACCTACCATATCATGCAATATTTTATTTTGTTATGTGACAAATATTAAGAAAATATAAAATTTGTTGTAAAAACATTCTTTCTATTTAATATTATTATTTTTCTCTTATTATTTACTCAAATGCCCCAAACAAACTATAAAAATAAAATACGTAATACACATACAGAAAGCAATGAGTTTAATACCTATAAACTTTATATTTGTTTTGCATGGAATAACTATTATTATCAGTTAAACACAAATTAAAAATGGCAAAAAATCAATCACTTTCTAAAAAAAATATATATATACAGGCATCTCACTATGTCTTATTTATTTTATTACCTGTAACTTGTCATCATCTTCTTTTTGATTTCTGTACCTAAAATCTTCAGCCTGAGAATGAGTTTCTGGTTCAGCCTTTGGTTGTTTTAGCTCCGGCCTTCGGAATGTGTTATTCTGTTTATCTAAAGCCAGTAAAGTGTTGGCCGCTTCATATTTATCTTCAGTAGTAATACCTGCCTTTTGTGCCAATGTCTCCAAGTACTGCAAAGGTCTTTTGGCGGATTTTGTCCCAGCTTTGGCCTTGTCAGGCTGCCCCGATCCCGGAGATTGCTTTGGGACTGTTCTTGTTATGGTTATACTATTCTTATTTAGATCATCTTTCTTGTCATTCTTAGGCTCTAATGTAAAATAATTTTTTGGGAAATCCTTATCCTTTTCACCATTTATACTGTTATTCTCTATTAATGTTATAGTTGTAGAGTTTGTGACTTTTAATGTTTTATCTTTAGAGTCCTCCTTTGGCTGAACTGTTGGGCCAGCACCTTGTGTTGGAGAAAGGAGTTGTGTGGGGACATGTTGTGACACTAAACTTCCACTTGGCGCTTCAGGGGTATGAATTTGTTTTTCAGGTGGCTTAGATAACTGTTGTTGTTGGAAATTAGGACTACTTGGCTGCTCCTTTTCTTGTTCTTTCTTCTTTTGAATATTGTCCAAAATTTCAGATCTAAAACAATAAAAAGAATTCAGTAAACAAGCAGTTTTAAATTAACTTAACAACATTGCGGTCTCACAATTACACATGACAATAATTACCTGAAAGGGTCAGTCATTGTTAAGAATTGAGAAGAAAATCATTAGTATTTTTTAGTAATTTAATAGGACTAGGTTCGTTCTCGTGCCCCGGTCAAGAATTAACAAAGATGCATTTACTGTGGCAATGGACCAAATGGATATTTATTGACTTGGATAAAACTATTTGATTTAGTTCAACCAGAACAAAAATTTAAAAATATATATCTACAAATTAATAAACAGTAAATATTCACCAAAATATTAATAACTCGTCCATCAATGTCATTTGTCTATGTCATTTAGAAATTAGCGGTTAGGTCTTTAACAGACTATATAACGTTTAGAGTTTAGAAATAAATATAAATAGTGATGTGCTTAAACCGAATAAATATATTATGAATTTTTAATAGGCATTTAAATAATAATTATTTTGTTTCATTAGCTTGCCACAAACCGTTCGTTACCGGAAAGTGACGGATTTGGTTATAACTAGTAACAGAACAGTGTTTTTTTTTCAGTTGTATTATTTTGATTTTAACATTTCTCTAGTTTTTAAATAATTTTAAGAAATATTTATATGTATTTATAATAAAAAATTATATTCTCATTTTAGTAGGTTCTGGGTTCACCTATATTTTTTTCCATTATAGTTACAGTATTTAAAAACCAATAACCTATCAATCTAAAAATAAAGCAGTATGAAAAAAAAACACCTTTTTGATCCAGTAAAAATTCAAAAATAAATGCTAATATTTCCGACATAGGTATGAATAATAATTTAAGAGGTAAGTAATTTAAATGATTGAGATACCTCCTACTTATGGAAATAGAAAAAAATATAAATGACCTAATTTAATTTATCTATGTAACAGTTTATATTCCATAAATTTTCATCCATTTTATTTATACGTAGGTATATTTAGTATACATCGTGTTTTTTTTTAATTGTGCGCCATACTTACCAGGACCACAATAAGTATAAGGTTATACACCTTTTTAGGGAAAGAAACCCAAATAAAAACGGCTCGTCTGGCATTATTTCACAAGGGGAAGCAAAAAATAATGAAATGTGCGAAAGAGAGGGCTTTATACGAACACGTGTGGCATAACAGAGAGGTATATAAAGCGCACTAGGGGAGTTGGAGAGCGAACCGGTTCTGCATGTGTGCAGACAGACGGAACCCTCCCTTCCCCCGCTAACCGACCCTCGGGTGCCTCGGGCACGAGAGCCCCACATTGTCAGCATTTCCCCGAAGCGTTGCAATAATAATACCAAATCGCTTAAATAATAGTCGTTTGTCCTCATTGTATAGAGATTAAACAATGTAATGTGATAACTTTAAAAGTAGGTCCTAATTTTTTTGGATGCTTATTATTTTACTACCCTCACTATATTAAAATTGTATATAAGCACATGGTTTTGATGCACAAGAAATCACTATTGCTCATAAATTGTTATAATAAGCCACACGCGACGCACTCAACCACAATCATTCGCATTGTAAAAGTAAAAATATAACATAAAATACCTTTTGGTGTAAAAACCGTAAGAACAACGTTCCATCGTTTCAAAATAAAGGGTTAACTAAAACGCCAACCCATGTGGCAGTTATAAAATTAAAAACAAACAAAAAAAGTAAGGATTGAGACATTCGCACGGGTGAAAGTAAACACAACACTTATTATCGACGAAAACGACATACAAACACACTTTATCGACAGTGCAGTGCCCGTCTCATTGCAACAATAACCTCCTTTCCGAATGGTGAAACACAACTGAGGTAACTGCGCGCGCCGCGTTTCTACCCTCCCCTCAAACCCCGCTAAATATTCTGTCTCAGCGTGGCCCAACGCTTACTCATCGCCAATGGTACGCCCGCTGCCGATAGTGAACTGTTATTGGTGGACTCGTTTTACGACCGTTCCACAAACAAAACCGGTTGCTAGGAACGACACGAAAGGGCGCGAGGAACGAAATTAGCGTTTCTGCGGTATTATTACATCTTCTATAGCTATCCTTTTCTTTCGGCTTCTTTTATTTGAGAGAAAACATATTATAAAATATTAGATCTATAATCCACTTCGCCGCACATAGTATATCTCCGCGCCATTCCATTTTGTTTTTATTTAATTTAAAAGATATAATATTCTTAATACCTGGCAAGTTTAAGGTGTGTTAAATATTTTTTTTAGGTAATAATATGTAGGTAGTTTTGAAGATGGATATAATGTAATATCTAAAAAAAATACATAATATATGTTAAGTTATTTTTACCATGACCATGTTAAATAACACGACCAAGATGTAGAAAACAATCTTAAAAATTTAAATTCAAAGTTGAATTTTTATTAATACTAATAATGAAGGGTTAATGGAATAAATAGGGGAAAGCATTAACCCTTCAATTTGTAACTTACTGATATATATGTATAAACAATTTATCAACTCGGCTTATGACTTCTGATAGATCGTATATACCTAAGTCGATACCCGATAGTACCTGCTAGTTACTATCTATATATTTATAGTAGACCTAATGTCTACTATAAAGAGATATATAGATTATTATAGATAAACACAAAAACCTACTTCATTTTAATTTTTCGAAGTTATTGCTTGTAAAATGGTTTGTTTTCAAAATGATTGATTCGTTTGATTTTAATTATTGCAATTTTAAATCGGTTTTTTAATTTACCGGTATTTTATTGTTTTTGATATTTGTTGCCTCCAAATATAAAATATGTTTTTTTTACATTTATATTTTTTAATCTTTGTTGAATATAAATACATATTGGTTATTAATTATTTTTATATTTTACTTAATTTTGTACCGAGGTTGAATACATTGACATCTTTTTCAGATTACAGAAACGCCGCTTTGAATACAGCGCCATCTGTAATTACATAATAAGACTACGACAACACAATGAAACGAAAGTGGTTTCCTACTAGGTAATAAAAGATGTCAGTAGTAGTACATAAAACAGAATCTAAACTCATTTTTTTATCGGGTCATTTTTATTTACAATTTCTCCAATGAAAAGATCTCGCTCAGGACTGTAATAATATTACAATATTATTTAATTTAGCTGTTATATTTATCGAAAAACTTTTACTAACTACTAACTTTGTAACGATAAACCACGACTCTAAATCTTAGATAATTAGTAGGTTATTGTGATTCTAAATAATTTTTTTTTCAGAATGTTTAGTCTGGTAAATGTAAAAGGATGTTCGCTGAGTTGTAGATACTCTTAAAATAATATAACTAGGTGTATCGAAAGCACTGTCTCCTACATATACATCACAAAAAATACAAATTTTATTATAAGCACTTATTATAAAAATATAATAAAAACATAAGTCAAGAAAAAGTAATTTTAAAGTCAACTTTGTATCAATCAAATTCTATTCATCATAAGAACTCGGGTCACAAAAAAACGGTACCTAGGTAGTCAGGTAAAAAGATTAGGGATATTTAAAATTGTCAAATGTCTGCGGACGCATATGTTCCATCTCTTTCCCTCACGCATTGAAATCTCTCTGTCCCGCTCTGTGCGTGGGTGTGGTGGATCTGTGATGGTCGGCCGATGAACTCCAATTGCATGAAGATTAACAAATAATCAATACTGTTATGACTATATTACAAATAATTAAACTTAAAAGTACCTAACAGAGACATCCGTTATACTTAACTTAAATATAGTAAAATATGTCTGTTCATCTCAGCCCGAATTGAAATGATTAAGGGAAGCATGATAGCTATACCTAGTTATAAACGTAACGTTAACAAATGCAAGCTCTAAACAAATAGGTACGGCTGATAAAAACAATATGATAGAATATAGAAAACAATATACCTATAGAAGTATGATAAGTATAGACAAATAAATTAATAGGACAACTTTAAAGATCGCAGCTTATTGATAACAAATTTGATTTACCTACGTAGTGCTCACAACTTAATTGTAAACAATAATTTATTCCAAATAAGGTCTACATTATATTAAGACCATTTTTTATAAGTTCTCGATAAAAGTATAAGTAGGTAAGTAGCCTAGCATAGATTTTTGGGTCTAACTTTAGTGTCGAGGCTTGCTGATTGCGTCTCCCATACATCAAAAACGTGTTGGATTTTTAATCCAGGACAAAAATGTCAGGCATGACAGTTTTAATACGAAATTTTCCTACGTCAATCAAATGTTACTTTGCGAAAGAAATGTGTATATATCTTAATCATTAATTTGATGAAACTTGGACTGTTCCGTAGGTACCTAAACACGTAAATTTGTGGACCAACATAACACACGAAAGTTACCACCGCTGCTTGAAAACCTTAGATCATTATACTCAAATATTATCAAATACCAACAAAATCGTATACGAACTGATGACTATTGACAGACTTTTGATCCTGATACCCAAGCCAATGTCAAAAGCGAAGCACAAACATTTTACAAGTAAAATTTCATCATAGACAATTTAATTAAGAAAAAAACATGACAACAAAACTACTATAACGTTTTAACATCCCTATATCTGTCGCACGTTATGGATCCAATTTAGCTATATTTAGATATAGTGCCATATAATCACGTCGGGGTTGTAGCCCGGAGTGGCTCTATCGATCGAAGGGTGGCTGCAACCCTCGTTTCCTCGCTTCCGCGATCCCTCCGAACTATACAGATAAGTTATAAAACAGGACATTGACCGAGATCAGTTGACTTTGAAACTATACGAAACCATTTGTTTACCGCGTTTAACTGCTAAACTGGAGGACTGACTAAAATATTACCTTTTCTTATCTACACAGTAGTTATTTACACTTTATCGCACATACAAGAATTAAAAATTTATGTGTATTGTTTATCGCTATTACGAGATCTCTTACTGGCAACCTTCGTTAAAGAAATAAATATAGGTGCCCATGCAAATTATAATGCATGCGTGCAAAACTTAAAAAGCAATATCTGGTACATAAAATGTATCAGTTAATCATTGCTAAAGTAAAAACTTACCAAATCAGAGTAAAAATAT